ATCACCCGTTGATGGGCAAGGATAAGGGACAAAAGAAAGAGGAGTCAGATGATGATTGAGTGATACTGGATAGGAAGGCCCTAGGGCAAATCCGGTTGTCACTCGTCAAATTAGTAGCCCACAATATTTTGAAGGAGAAGACGACGGTGTGGCTTATGGAAGCGCTCGCGAAGATGTACGAGCAACCGTCGGCAGCAAAGAAGGTGCATCTCGTCAAAACTCTCTTCAACCTCAAGATGACAGAAGGACGGTCCTTCACGATGCACCTCAGTGAGTTCAATATGATTGTTGATCAACTTATCTCCGTGGACATCACATTTGATGACGAAGTACAAGCCCTATTGATTCTATCGTAGTTGTCGGATAGTTGGGCAGGTTGTGTGACGACAATCGGCAATTCGGTGGGGAAAGAGAAGTTGAAGCTGAGTGAGGTTGTTAGCATGATTCTATCTGAGGAGGTTAGAAGAAAATCGTTCGAATCAGAAGGTTCAGGTTCAGCTCTAAGTTTCGAGCAGAGAGGTAGAAGTCAGAAGAAAGGGAACCAGAACAGGAATCGGTCGAAATCAGTAAAGAAGAGGTCGAACTCGAAGGTTAGGCCTATCAAAGGGAAGTGTTGGAACTGTGGCCAGGAGGGTCATATGTCTTTAATCTGCAAGAGTCCAAAGAAGGATGCGGGTGAGCAGGAGGCTCATATCATGCAGGATGCCTTGATCCTTGCTATGGATAGCGACTCGGATTCTTGGGTCATTGATTCAGGAGCATCTTTCCACGTCACTGATAACAGAAAGATTCTTCAGAACTATGTAGCTGGGGACTTTGGAAAAATATATTTGGGGAATAACGAGCCCTGTAATATTGTTAGAAAAGGTGAAGTGCAGATTCAGATGAAGATCTCTAAGTGGACCTTGAAGAACGTGAGACACGTGCCGAAGCTGAAGAGGAATCTTGTTTCGGTGGGACAGCTTAAAGCAGAAGGCTATGTTTCTACATTCACAGGGGATTCGTGGAAAATCTCTAACAGTACTATGATAGTTGCTCGAGGAAACAAACTAGGAACTCTCTACCTCACCTTACATGTGAGTGACACCCTCGCAATTATAGCTGGCAAAGAGAGTACAGATCTGTGGCACAACAGGCTAGGGCACATGAGCGAGAAGGGGATGAAGATCTTACATTCACATGAAAAGCTAACTGGGATCGACTCCGTGGAAGTCGGGGTTTGTGAAGACTGCATCTTTGGGAAGCAGAAGAGGGTTAGTTTCCAGAATGGTGGAGGCCACCTAAAGCTCAGAAGGTAGAGTTGATTCATACAGATGTATGGGGCCCAGCCAGTGTATCATCTTTTGGCGGTTTGAGATATTATGTCACCTTCATCGACGATCACTTAAGGAAGGTGTGGATCTACTTTATGTAGCACAAGTCAGAGGTGTTTGGAATCTTCAAGAAGTGGAAGGTCATGGTGGAGAACGAGACAGATCTGAAGGTGAAATGTCTGAGATCAGACAATGGTGGAGAATACGAGTTGGAGGAGTTCAAGAGGTTATGTACTATGAATGGTATTCGCTTAGAGAGGACTACTCCAGGGACGCCGCAGCAGAACGGCATTGCAGAGAGGATAAACAGAACCTTGACAGAGCATGCCAGGAGCATGCGATTACATGTGGGTCTGCCTAAAATATTTTGGGCGGATGCGGTGCATACAGCAGCTTACCTTATTAATCACGGGCCATCAGTTCCATTAGATTTTAGGATTCCATATGAGGTTTGGAGTGGAAAGAAGATAAATCTCTTAGTTGCGTGGCTTATGTTCATATCAGTGACCATGTCAGAGACAAGCTAGAAGCTAAGTCACAGAAGTGCACATTCATTGGATACAGCATTGATGAGTTCGGGTATCGTCTTTGGGATGAGAAGAACATGAAGATCATCAGAAGCAGGGACATGATATTCAATGAGGAGGTGATGTATAAGAACAGGGAAGATGCCAAGGATAGCCATAGCAGTGGGAGTAGCATTTCAGATACAGATGGATCTAAGTACATGGGTATAGAGGAACTTTCAGATAGGGGTGATGATGTTTGTTCTGATCAGAGAATGGAGGAGGCTCCAAGTACAGAAGAAACTACCCAGGGCATGGAGCTTAGGAGGTCATCCAGGATACCCAAACCAAATCCCATATATCTTTCATCTCTTGACTACTTATTGTTGACAGATAGCGGTGAGCCGGAGTGCTATGAAGAGGCAATGCAAGTGAGTGAATCTCAGCAGTGGGAGCATGCTATGCAGGAGGAGATGGATTCTCTACTCACTAATGAGATATGAGAGTTAGCCAACTACCTGCACAGAAGAAATCCTTACATAACAAATGGGTCTACCGGGTCAAGCAGGAGACTGATGGAAGCAAGAGATTCAAGGTCAGATTAGTAGTGAAGGGGTTTCAACAGCGGGAAGGAGTGGACTACACGGAGATATTTTTTTCTATTGTGAAACTCACAACCATCAAAGTGGTGTTGAGTTTGGTAGCTGCAGAAGACCTCTTTCTTGAGCAGTTAGATGTGAAGACTGTCTTTCTTCATGGTGACTTGGATAAAGAAATCTACATGAAGCAGTCTGTTGGCTTCATTGAAGAAGGAAAGGAAGAGATAGTGTGCAAGCTCAAGAAGAGCTTATATGGTTTGAAACAGGCTCCGAGACAGTGGTATAAGAAGTTTGATAACTTCATGCAGAACAATGGCTACAGAAGATGCAATTCGAATCATTGTTGTTATTTCAAAAGGTTCGAGTCCAACTTTATTATTTTGTTATTATATGTTTATGACATGTTGGTAGCAGGACCATGTTTAGAGGAGATAAACAGTTTGAAGAAACATCTAGCAAAGGAGTTTGCAATGAAGGATCTGGGTTTTGAGGGCTCTTTGAGATTAGAAATCTTAGAGAGAGAGTGCAATTGCAAGCATTGTAATCTTCTTCAAGTAATCAAAGAATTGTGGGGTGTGGCTCCCGAGGACGTAGGCACGTTGTCGAACCTCGTTAAATCTGGTGTGTTCTTTCTTGTTTACTTTCCTACAAGTTTTTATCTTTGATTTGTGGTGAATTTCTTTCTTGCTCAACTCTCAAACACAAGATCCGGAAGGGTACGGATTTGATTTGATTATTTCGAATCCCCAACACTTTTCTCTTAATTTTTTTTAATTGTTGTGATTCACAATTCACAAACACTTTAACTTCAAACCAAAACTAGAAAATCACAGTGCACGACAACCATGGTTAGATTCCTACAATTATGTCTTTAAGCATTAGAATGGGGGTCCAAGCATCAATAATGTCTCTTTTGATTGTACCGTGGTGCTTGGCAGTTGTAATCAACAAAATTAAGAGACTAAAAGAAATTAAAAAGAAAAACTTAGATCAAAGAACCAAGGGCTTTAGGCCTAGGTGACTAGTTTTGGAATCTTTCTCAAAGTAAATAAAGATAAATGAAGCAATAGAGATGTCTTTTGTCTTGAAATGTACATTAAGGCTCTTCAGTGTTCAAAGTCTAGATTCTAGGCTATCCACAGTTATCGAGTTTACAATTCTAAAGCATTGTTGGATTCATTTGAAATGTAGCACAGCTAACAAAGTAAGAAGTTCACCCATAAAAAAAGGTGGTATATATTCTCTTTTATTGCAATGCTTCACTCCTCCCAAAATCCTTGCTCTTGCCTTTCTTCTTTCTTTTTTTTTTTTTTGAAAAATTCCTCAAGGACCCAAAATATGGGACCAATAGGGGGGACAAGTGAGGTGTCCCCCTCCTATTGAATAATAAGTTAGTCATCATTAATGATGACCAACTCATTATCCAATAGGAGGGGGACACCTCACTTGTCCCCCCTATTGGTCCCAGTTAGGCAAAATCTTTTTTTGTATTTCTATTAATGATTCATTGTACTTAAATATAGGGAAAGCCAGGGAAAGAGAAGAAAGGCCTACAATCTAACAATGTGTCTAGATAGAGATAGCCGAGAGTAGGGAGGAGAATGCATAGTTAACTCTTTTGGGAGTTTTTTTTTTTTTTTTTGTGTTGGGGTGTGGGGGGGGGGGGGGGGGGGGTTACAGAGGGTAGAAGAGGAGAAATTATGCCAACGCGATCTGATTTTATTCCCTCTATATCGGCGCCTCTATATCGGCCTGATTTTATTCCCCTCTATATCGGGCTATAAGGAGAGGAGCGGAATTGATCATAAAAGTTTCAGTGGATGATCCGTGATTTTGAAGACCTTCTATTCCATTCTCTTTTTTTTATTAGAACTTCCATACAAGTTGAATAAATTTTTATCCATTCTCTTTACTGAAGATATAATGTTTACACTCTCCTTCTCCGATATTATCTTTTCTTCACTCCTAGTATGACTCCCAGATAGCGTAAAATAAAAGTTAACCCTGTTTTGTTTTTGGGGCTCTTTGGTTAGTATCAGTTGCATGCAAATAAATTTACTGTGAATGTTATCGCATACGCTTTGGTTGAATTTTGAAATCTTAAAATTGGCAGCTACAGTTGTAATTGCAAGTGTTTGTTTTAGGATTAAGTTTGGACTATTTTAAGACATTTGTGACATCCAAGTTACTATCTAAACCCTATCTTCAGCTCTACTGCGAAATATTTATCTGCTTAAATCATCCATTTCAACTAGGGGCTTTTTGCCACGGCAACTTCAATTGCAACTGAATTTATTGATTAATAGCGAAACAAATTGCTACAACTAATTAAATATCTTAATTTCATGCAGGTGCACTTGCAATCTTTTGCAGCTGCGACAGATAAAAAACCATTATCGTTGCACAAGAAAGCCTTCAAGCGAAGACGGCTAAGCTCAGCATAGAACTTAATTAACAAGAACGAACCCTGCTCATATTTAATTGGTTTGATCCAAGTTTAACACTGTTATCAAATTTTAGATCAGCATAGGTTTAAACATTTTCATCACACACCGCATGCACGTCTATCAGCAAATAACGCAAGTCCAAAATACTCCACATGAATGTAGAACACTGAATTGTTGAACCAGTACATATATAGTAGTAATGAACAAGTTTCTCATCTTCATAAGCCATTACCTTATTACTCACCAATGACGGTTTTCAAACAAACACATATAAATAGTTATATGCTTCATGTTTGCTGATAGAATTTCAGATTATCCAATACCTTCTCTCATTTACTCACCTACAACAGTTTTCAAACACATACAAACAGTTGCATGTTTCATGTTTGATGATAGAATTTCAGAATCTCGATAGCTTCTCTCATTTTCTTCAACGCGCTTCATACTGCACAACTGTATGAAGGGGGAAATGAATAAAAATGGGAATCCAAATTGCAAAACTAAAGCATGGTTATGATCAAGGTAAAACAGAAAACGACTGGAAATCATGAGGCTCCAAGTAAAGAACAAGTATCAAAGTTAAAAGAGTTGAACCATAACTACACGTTACGCCATATGTAACGGCAGGGACGAACCTGGAATTTTTTTTCTTAGGGGGGCACATATTCAATTATGCATATAAATTAAAAATTACTTCTATAATACAAGTTCTAGAAATGGAAAAGCTTATTTATAAAGACCTCAACACTTATCATTATTGCTCTTACAATTTCATCTCTTGACAAGTCTATATGATTTTCTCATTTACTATACCGTCATATATCTCTTTCTCAATATATGTAATTAAAGAAGCATTCAACCATTCATCTCCCTTATGATTGTGCATTCGATTCTTTATAATTTTCATTTCATAGAAAGTTCTTTCAACAGTTGCAGTTGCTATTATTTCAATTCTCAGTGTAGATTATAGTAACAGATAATTGTTTTCAATTGTTTAATATTATACTATTTATTAATAAGACTCAAATATTAATATATTCTAACACAATTAACGCTATATCATCAACATAAACTTGAGCACATATAGAAGAAAACATGTGAGAGAAGAGAAAGAATTGGGGATATGTAGGTTTTAATAGATGGATTTGAGTTGGGTTTGGGTTTAGATTAGTTTGGGTGGGGTCACCCTTCTTCTCACATGTGCGGGGGCACATGCCCCCAGTGCCCCAATCATGCATCCGTCCTTTTTGTAATGGGTCATGCTACGAATTCGGATACACAATTCACCAATTAGCTATATTTGAAAGTGCGCTACATGGTATATTGTAAATGTTTTTGCCGCACTTATCAAATTTCAAAGTGTATAATAGAAAACTAGAAAGCAAAAGTTAATTATGCCTTTCAATACTCTTAGCCATAAAATGCTTCACTTCCAAAATTTTGAAGTATATAAAACGTGTAAAACATATAAATTATAGAGTACGCACTACTGATCATGGTTATTTACCCTCATTTGAAGAATGGTAGTAATAGTAAGCTTAGTATTTCCACACAACTTATAATGAGGATGCTTTGAGAGATGATGATAGTGATGAGGATGCTATTAGGCGTTGCTGATGATGATGAGTGGTGACAAATGATTGTTTGATTTCAGGCTTCACTTTTGAGACTTTTAAACTTTTATTATGTTTGGCTTTAGGCTTCAAAGTTTGGAGTCTTTAGACATATGTTTATAGTTTGATCTTTGCTGCTTGATTAGGATTTATAGACTCATATTATCTATTATGATATTATCTTGCTTTAAATTATGATATTATCTTGCTTCGCTCACTTATATATGCTTGAATATTTCATTTTTATATCAAGTTTTAACTATAAGTTTCAAATAGTTAAAACTTAATCATGTTGCTAATAATCAATGTTTTTCTATTGTTGAGTATTTTTCTAGTAGAGGAACTTGAAAGTTGAACGAATGAAAAAAAAAACTGTCTTTTTGTTAAATAGATCTTTTCATTTTGGACAGTACGTTGCTAATATTATGTGAATGTTACAAGTCTATTTCATGCCTTAAGAGTTTTATAAATTATCAAATATACATTTGTAAATTTTTTATATTTTCCTTAAATTTTTACTTTTTTTAATATTTATACATATTTAAACTGAACACTTTTTTTACTTTGCATTTTTTGCCGCTAAAGCCCTAAAAAGCCCGAGCGGTGTCACAGTGCTTCGCTCCACTTTTCACAACCTTGTAGTCAATACATCCTATGAATCTTAGAATTAGTAGCAGAGAAGTTGAAACATTGATAGCTCTCTGCTAAACATCAACATACTATATATATAAGAGTTATCTCGCCTCTTTCAAGCCTACATTAACTTGTAGCCATACCTTTCAAAGCAATATCACACATACAAGAAATATAAAGTTCTTAACTTTTTTTCATCATTAATAAGCATTGCAAATGTACTTGTGTCTGTGTACATGCATGCATGAAGAAGGAGAGAGAAGAGGGAGGAAGAGAGGATGGAAGGGAGGAGCACAAAGAATTAGAAGTATCACATATATTAATGCAAGATATCCGTAATGCATAAAAAAAATCAGATATACAATGAGTAATAACTAAAAGCATACAGTAGATAGAGATAGTAACACTTTGTACGATTTCAAAGAAACTAATCTCATGGTTATGTGAAACATGTAAGCACCTTTGCCAAACGTTTACATAACCTATTGAATTGTAAACATCCAGAAAAAACTAACAAAAGCATACTGGCACAAAGCATTGTTTTGATGGTTTTAAGGATTTAAACCAACCATGAATTGCCTTCTAGTGTTTAACATCATGTAGAGTTGAATAAATAGACTCTATTAATGACAAGGTCATTGATAGTGGATAGCATCGCATAGTGGTGAGGCACCTTGGGATTATAGCGACAAAATAGTGGCAAAAAAGACAGTCAAATAGACGTCAAATTTAAATATGTATAAATATTCAAAAAAAGATCAAATAGTTATCATAGCTATTGTAGGTAGTGGGAAAGGTGGAGAAGTGGAGAGGCTGTTGTAGCCGGAGAGGTGGAAAGGCAGAGGAGAAGAAGAGCTGGAGGAGAAAAAAGGAGCCGGAGAGGTAACTAGAGAAGAGAGAACGTGGAGGAGAAGAAAGGAGCCAGAGAGGTAACTGGAGAAGAAAGAACATGGCGGAAGGGGTTGGAGGCCGCGATGTTGAGGGAGAAAGAAGAGATTAATAGAGAGGGTGACTAGGTTTTTTCTTTTTATTTTTTCCATCAACAGAGAGGAGAGAGGAGAGGAAACAGAGTTGGATTTGGGGTTTAATAAATTTTGGATCGGATTTGGTCTGAGTCAGGTTTAGTCGACCCACACTCCACTTTAACCGTAATTAGCGATAAAAAGCGGTAAACAATTAGCAATAAAAAGCGAATTTTTACTGCTTTTTACTGCTATTTCTTTTGACCGCTATTTAGCGCTTTCGAGTACTTTTGCAAGCATAAAGTGCTCACAAGCGCTATTGTTCACCACTAAGGCCATACTCCTCACGGCGGCCTCCACTAACGCAAATAAGACGCTATTTAAAACACTGATTAATTATATAGTCCATCTACTTTTTACTATTAGTTATGATAACTATGATATGATGACCCTACAATTTTAGGAGTCGTAGAAAGTTATGATTAGTTTTCAAGTTTCAAGAACGAGTTGGATTTATGTATATAATGTACTCCAGGCCATTTTGTTAGTGCTCAAACTTAACACCTTTCTTCATTATATCTCCTCCCATCAATATATATCAAAAAACATAAGAATTAACCTAAGAAACCTCTCCTCTAAATCTAACCATAGAAAGACATTTTCCCATCTCAATCTTAGGGCTGTCCAAGGACTAGCTGTGAGCAATCTTTGGGCTTTTTCCTTCTCATCATCTTCCTAGTATCTCGCTTCATGCTTGTCCCTCATAAAAAAGGTCAATAACAATATCTAACAAATCTATGAGCTACAACTTGAAGTCGTGAGTCATCTCAAACTAGCTACATCCATAGAGATATAGACTCATTTTTTTTATTAGGTCTTCCAATTTATAAATTACACTCTTAAATATTAATATTTGTGCAAGATGTGGGTGCATTTAAAACTATTTAATGAATTTGGGGAGGTATTCTATAAATAATGGTGTATTATTCAGAATAAGGAATTTAAGGATAGAAATGATAAATGTGAAGATTTGAGGGTTTAATATCAAAATAGATAAGAATTGTCGGATCTAATACACAAAAACCCTTTGTAACTATATAATACAATTAACACTAGGAAATGGAAAAGGACAATAAAAGTACAAGTGATTCCTCTCTACCTGATTCAATCAATTTTGTTAAAGAAGGCAAGTCTATATAGTAGAGTTAATTAAGGATGGAATGTTCCAAATCAATCACAAATATCATGATTAATATTGTTAAGAATGATAACTTAATATTGTGATATAATTGCAACTATATTTTGTGAGATATTACTTGTAACCATAAACTGTTGAACTGTCTCTACATGAAATATAGAAGGGCTATGCAAGAAACAAAAAAAAGCCACATTTCCCTTTTCTCAACTTCTCCATTCTATATCTCTATAAATATTATTAGGCATGTTACAATGTCAAACCCACTAGGTTAATGCTCTTCCTCCTCAATTCTCCATGTTTCTTCAACTATAGAGTTTAGCACACCTTCCTTATCTTCAATATCTGAGTCATCATCCATTACTCGAGCTGACAAATCTTCTTCAATGCTCACACCATCACCTACCTCTCAATCTGGAACTAATAGCATATTCCTTCTATATGTAAAGGTCAACCAAGATAACTACCTCCGTGGAAGATGCAATTTGAGGTTATTCTCAAGTTTCAAGGATACACGAGAATCTTTGATGACACCAAAAAGCGTCCCCTAGCGATAATATCTTATGAGAAAAATCCAAATCTACTTATACTCAGTCCAGCACATGTTTGAATAAAAAAGATATGATCCTCAGTTGAATGGTGGTGTCCCCGACCGATTCACTGATTCCCCTTGTGGTCGGTCACAAGACTTCACAAGTTGTCTGGCAAACTCTCACCAAAGCCTTCACCTCACACTCCAAAACTCGCATTCTCTGGTTAAAGAAGACTTCAAAACACCAGGCAGGAGTCGGCGTCTATAACATACCTAATAATATTTCTAGAGAAAGAACAAAGAAGTTTAGGAGTAAGCAAAGTGACTTCTACACTTCTTGCACAATCCTTCTTTTCTATATCATATATGGGCATTGTTTCAACCATTCATGGTTACAAATAATATCTAAATATATAGTTATAATCACAATATTAAGTTATCAAACTTAATAATATAAACAATAATATTTATGAATGATTTGTAACCTTCCATCTTTAACTAATTCTACTATGGACTTGCTACTTTTAATAAGTTCACTTAAATCTGATTGAGTGAAATAACTAATAATATTGTTTTTTTAATTTCACCCTTTCGATTGTTTTGTAAAGGATCAAGAGTCAGGAATGGTTCTTCTCCATAGAACACGATAGTCTTAATGATGAACTCTATCATTTGCCTCCACCTAGTTTTGCCTCGTTCTATGTTATGTTGCTCTTGTTGCAAACATACGTCCACTTCCTCTCAGTATGTTCGCCTAGGCCATTCTACATTAAAATTGTGCTTTAGATTTTATCAACATTCAGTTTACCTAATTTCCGAAGTAGTAGTTTGTTAATTTCTTCTGCTTTCATGAAGTCAAGAGTCACAAACTTCCATTTGTCAACTTCTATTTCCTCTACACTTTTAGACTAGATTTAATTTTTCCAGATCTATGAGGCCCTGCTCCTATTGTTGCCCGGTTTGATTTTTGTTATTAAGTTATACTTGTAGACGATTTTGTAAATTAACTTAGTTGTTTCTTATGCACAGTAACTCTGAACTCTTTGAAACTTCTAGTAGCTTCTAAACACGCATGAAAATTCGTATGTTTCACTTTAATTGGGGGTCACGAGTATCAATCTCTTCGTCGTCATTTTGATTCCGAGGGAATTTCCATTGTGTTTCTTGCCTACAAACTCTGGAACAGAATGAGTATGCGGAAACACATCGTCACATTATTGAAACCTTAGCTCTTCTTGCATTTGTATCTATGTAATCACACTGCTGAATGAGGCCATGAACACTATTGTACTTTTAATTGATGTCCAACACTACTAAAAAATGTCAATGCATTCCACTCTATAAACTAACTGTCAGACCCGATAACAATTTTATTCTCATTTTTGGCTTTGGATACTATCCTGGTTGTGTCTATATTCTCGACACAAGCTAGATTATGACTGTTGTGCTCATGGCTACATCACTGATCACCAAGGTTGTTGTTGCCTTCATGTGTCATACAGATGTATGTATATCTCTTTACACGTTTTCAATGATTATTTTTCCTTCTGCAAGTTCATGATATTTGCCTACAACTGTGTCATCCTTTGGTACGCTACTACTAGGTGTCGGAATACTTGGTTCTAAACTGGGCTCTCATCTCCCAACTGTACACTATGACAAAGGCATGCTTGACCATATTGCCCAATCTCTCACAATGCCCACTGGAGCGAACTCGTTTGATTCTCAAACCCATTCATTAGCAAATTCTTCAATCCACTCAACATCAGATTCCTCATCTCTGATTTTGCACTCGCCTCTGCCTGTTGATCTAGGCGCACTACTTCGTCATCCTTGGATACATCTTTGGCTCCAACCAAAATGATGACCAGTGTTTTTAAGGGCGATTTGGGGGGCGCGCCTCGGGCGCGAGGCGCATTGGCGCAATAGCATAGCGCCCCGCATCAGGTGCGGGGCGCTACGCTTGCGTCGGGCGCGCGCCTGGGGAGCGCCCCGCAGCGCCTGACGCCAAGCGCAGGGCGATCGCCCCATTTCCAGAACCGCAATCAATTGGGTTCGGGTACAAACCCGCTTTCCAAAAGTAAATCCGAAATCAAAAAGGGGAAAACGAAAATAGAGAGAACTAAATCGAGCTCTAGGGTTCTGAGATCCACTTACCTCTCCTCCGATCTTTGTCTGCATCCACGAAGACGGGCGGACACGAAGACGAAGATTGGCAACGCAAGGTTAGTATTTCGTTTTTTAGTTTTTTCTATTTCCAGCTTTCTTTTTTTTTCTCCTCCTTCGTTTCCAGCTTTCGTTTTTTTCTTTGTTTTTTCAGTCGATCCACTTGTTCTTTTGCTTTTTCTTTGCTTTTTGTTCCCGTCTTCGTTTGCCTGTATGTAAATTAAGTGGGATCCGGTCATTTTTTTCTTTTTACTGTAGCTTCTTTGTTTTTTCTTTGCTTTTTGCTCCCTGTCTTTGTTTTCCTGTAGGTAAATTAAGTGGGATTCGGTCATTTTTGTTCTTTTTACTGTAGCTATTGTATCAATAAAAAATACTTGTAGTTAATATTAATAGTAAAAAATTAATTCATCCTCAATGCCAAGCTAGGGCCCTGCTTGTTTTTTCTTTGTTTTTTTACTGCAGCATAATATTTTTAACAATGTTAATTTGGTATATGAATCACTGTAACTATTTTACTGTAGTTAAATTAACAGTAAAAAGTTAACTATATTAGCTGATGTTTGATCATAAGGCTAATGATTAATAAGGCTAATGATTAGTTGATGTTTGATCACTTGATTAATAATAGGCTAATGATTAATAAGGAGAGATTTATCTTATTTTAAATGGGCATATGATTGTTAAAATGTGCAAACTACAGAGTTATGAAGTTATGAAATTGCTACTATTTGCTTCTTATTAATACATATCAGTAATAATTGTTGAAAATGTGCTACTATCTGATTTTCTGTGCGAGATTGAGAGTATTGAATCTTGCTATTTGAGCTAGGTGCAGTGCTACTAGTTGACTTGAAGCTTGAAACTTGAATCACCATTTGTAACCTGTAAAGAGGAAAATAAAATTTAGCAATATAGTTGTTAGTGATGCAATATATTATTTGGAGTGTGCCTCGCTTCGCTCGGGCGCGCGCATCGCATTGCGCCTTGCGCATGTACACGTAAACTGACTTTGCGCCCCGCATTGCGCCTCGCGCATTGAAAACACTGATGATGACTATGACGGTGTCGGAGGTCACTTTTGTGACCTCTTACCTAGGTCTCTATACTCGTTCACAGACTAATCTATATGAGGCCAGAAAGCCACTCTCTGAGCCTACTATATCTCGTCTACTTACTAGCAATCATTGCTTGAAAATGGCTCTTCTTGTGAACGCCCTGTAGACAGATGAAAAAGCTACTGCGAATTATAAATCGTATACAGAGCATTATATATGCACCTTTGTATATCTCCACTGCGACTACTGACGTTCGATACCCTCCTTCGACATGTCGTCGTCATTATGATTATTCAAACATCATATTCAACATCACCCTTGCCGTTCACGGGGCCTATCATCATCCTAGTCCAGCGACAAATCTCGCACAACAGGTTCGTCGATGTAATGATCGTCATCATCATACATTAACATTGTTATCGTACAACAAATCCCACACAACTTCATTGAAGTATCCTTGCAATCATCATTTGTCAACATCGCCGTCCAACAATGCACGAGTCTACAAAATGTCCTTGTCGACTCTACAATCCCAAGTTCCCAACAATGAGAGGAACTCTCCGTGGAGTACCTCGCTACCTTATCATCGTTGTTTATCACCGTGAGAGCTCCCAAGGGTCTAGTCACCACTCCTGCCACCTCATATTCTTTGTTTATCACCATGAGAGCTCCAAAGGATCTCACTGTGTTTGTCAACGTAAACAGAGGCCCCTACGGGCCACACTGATTGCTCCCACAACCTCATCATCATCATTCATCACCGCAAGAGCCCTCAAGGGCCTAATCACCATAAATGAGGTCAAAGCATGCCCCCGAGGACCTCGCCAACTACTCTCGTCGCTTTGTCGTCGTCATACATCACTGTGAGAGCTCCCAAGGGCCTTGCTTCCATTACTGACATCAAAGGTGGCCCTCGAGGTTCTTACCACTAGCGGGCTCTCCAAGTCTCCTTCTCACCCCTTTTCGCGCCCAACAAAAGCACACCCCTTTTTGTGCCCAACGAAAGCACGGTGTGATTTTCCCGTCATGCGTTTTGTGTGCGAAAGAAGTGAGGTGGGAGTCCGACCTCACAGATGGGTGCCACGTAGCACCTTCGGTTTATCCATGAAATTCTGGTATAATGAATTTAAGAACAGACCCGAAACTAATCTACTCACATGGGGGAAAAGATGACTAAATGGTCAAAAAGAGTGGTTTTAACCCTTCAATGTCAACTTTAAAGACAGGGATTAGTCTGGGTGTCCTTCAAACAACAATGGCTAGAAGACTTCCAAAACAGAATACCTAAACACGAGGTGAGCTGCCGGAAAAGGGAAAATTTAAGGGGGAATATCAAAAATCTAAACTTAAACTAGTTCTTGTGGCTTTTCTCACGCAAACTAGAAAGATCCTGTAAAAGAAAACTTCAGGTATTATGGTCAGAAAACTAGGGAGATTATAGAAACACCTGTTTCATGGAGTCCTACTTACAAGGAATTAGGGTTAAGATTAGGGCTAGGGTTTAGAGGAGAAATAAATCAAGTGAGAAAAAGATGATGTTAATAAAATTACAAAGAATTTTTTTTTGAAGAATTAGGGTTAGGGTTAGGGTTTAGAGAAAAAAAATTCAAGAAATCTGAGTAAGAAAGCGATTACATACTTCTTCGAGTGCGCTTCTTGTAAAGGATGCGATAGCCGCACTCCCTGCACTGGATCACGTCGCCAGGCTTCAGAGTGTTCTCCATCCCACAATCTTCATCACCATAATAAAACCCCTCAACATCATCAAATGATTTATTGTGAAATTAAGAAAATAGAAATTGAGATGGTTGTCTTGATCGATTACCTCCGCAGAGATAGCTTACGGGCTCCGGCTGAGGATCCATGGATCAGAGAAAGGAAAGGCGGCTGTTTGCGTGAAATCGTTCGACCTCCCTCTGTTGGACTGGACGAAATTTTGTTTTTCACGAAACCCCTTGGTACTTTGTAAGTTTAAGAAAACTTCTAAAACTTTGTGAGTTATAGGGAAGAGAGACGAGAGAAGTTTGAGACGAGAGGAAAAGAGAGGTGAGAGAGTTTCATAAGTTCATAGAGAAATGAAAAAGAAAAAATAAGAAGG